GCCCGAGGGCCGGGCGCCCGCCCCTGCAGCCCGGGGGGCGGCCAACGCCAGGCCGGAGCTTCAGGCCGCCGGGGGGCTAGAGAGAAACGAAGCCGAGATCGTGGCCTCGGTTCGTACCATGGTGCGGGCGGCAGGCTTCGCGGTGGCGGTACCGGCGCGCGGGGCGAGAGGCCGGGCGGCCTCGGGCGGGTTTGATTTTGGCGCCGACGACGTTCCGGAGGAGGTGGGGGAGGAGGCCGACGTCGGCCGCACCGCGCGCAGCGACCCCTGGCGGCTCAGCCGAGCAGCGAGCTGCCGCGGGGCCCGGGGCGGGGCCCTGTTCAACTCAGTCTCACGCGTCGGGTGGCTGAGTTGTTTCCTCTTCTCTCCTGTGTGGAACGTGACTTTTAAAAATTATTTCGGTAATTGGCCACAATAATCGATCTCATTGTATATTGACAAAATAAAATAAAATTTTAAAAATTAAAAAAAGGATATTTTCAGACCCGCAAATTGATAAAAAAAAAATTAAATTAAATTAAAATTAAAATTATTTTCAGAAAGTCTTGAGCCCTCGCTTTTATATGCGTTTTCTTGGCGCTGGGGAAATCTGGCCTAAGTTTGCTTAAAAAAATAGAGGCAATTTAGCTGCTGGGGAAGGGAATGCTGCCTCCATCCGTCCGGACTTGTCCACTCTGGGGTGGACTCGGTTCCTTTCTTCCCGTCCACTATCCTCTAGTTTTCCAGCTTTTTAAAATTGGTCTGGTTTTTCCTTAGGTTTCTTAAAAGATAAAGAACAGAATGAATTTTGAATCAAAACGGTGGAAAATATGTTAGGTCATGTCTTGACGATAGATGCGGATTCAGAGGAAGATCTCAGGTCCCATCCCCTGAAAGTGCTAAAATAATTCACAGAGATTTCAATTATTTTGAAAATCATTATATGGTATTTTGAACCATTTTAAAGTATAATAACTTTACTAAAGACAAAAAGTAACATCGAAAATAGGAATTTATAGCCCCTGTTTCTTCTTATGGAAGCAGGGGAAGGAATATATTGAATTTCATGGAGTTCCATTAATTCAGTTTTTCCTAGAGGTGTTATACAATACAACTGATAGTACATGAGGTCATTTTTAAAAGGTAAATGGATAGCTATTTAATGAATGTTTTAATATGTACTAGAAATAATATAATTAGAGCATCATATCTTGGATTTCTCATGCATTGGTCAAGATACCGCTAAAGAAGTTATGTTAGTTAAAAAACAAAACAAAACAAAAAACCCAGAAATTTAAGAAAAATATTACGTAACTGCACTGGTGATATATGTACAGATTTGACAGAAATCATGACGGTGACATTTGTGGGAAGCCTTGCCTTAATCGGTTGTCAGACTGTCTTGCCTCTTCAGCTCCATCAGGACCAGTCCTTCACTTGACTAACTCTTACCCATGCTATGGACAGCTCAGGTGTTTTCTCCAGGAATCGTTTCCTCTCCACCTCCCCATTCCCACCCTATAAGCAGATCAGGTCACTTCTGTGGTTCTACAACATTCTCTGTACAGTTTTATCATAGCACCTTACTTCCTTTTATAGTTGTCTACTTGGACTTAATCTCTACAATATCAAACCTGTTTCTATGGCAGGGACTAAACCAAATATTTTGGTATAACAAAGGCCTAGCCCAGTTCCTGACACATGATGAATGCTCAATAACTGTATTAAATGAATATACCAAGTATTAAAGAAAACTATCTTCTATTGACTTTAAGATAACTATAGTTCTCAGTTGAAAAACTGAAGGATATTTTACTTTATTAAAATATTGTTTGCATGTAGTGCTTTCCCACCAATATTCTCACTAATAAAATTCTTAAATTACCTTATATATCATTCAGATGTCTTGAGACGCTGCAAGTTCTGCAATTTTATGGTAGTAGCCAGATATGGAATATAAGTTATTAAGTATGAAATCAAATATTTGCAGCTTTTGAGAAGTACTCCTGAATTTGGATCTTGTAACCATCTAACAGTTTAGAGTAACCAAGGGCTGGCTGGTTAGGTCAGTTGGTTAGAGCATGGTGTTATAACACCAAGGTCAAGGTTTTGGATCCCCTTACCAGATGTCAGAAAAAAAATGTCTTTAGAGTAACCAAATATCATTTCTTTATTGGACAAGTGTGTTTCACAAAAATCCATTAACATACATTACTTTCGTTCTTTTTACTATGAGTGTCGACTGCCTGCAGAGTTTGTGAAGGTGAACCAGCCAGGACACACCCTTAATGCGCTCATATTCTAGTCATTGCTGCACTTCAATCTGGGCAACTGGGGTTGCCCTAGACCCTGCTCTGTAGAGGGCCACTTTAGCCTTAGTCAAGTGGTACCTCACCATATAGGCAAGAATTCTGCATGGCCAAGGGTACATACCCACCTGTTACCTGCCATCTACCTTCTAGACCAGGGACCTGGGAACCCAGAATCCCCTGCATGACTTAGTTTGAGTTCCCAGAAAAACAGGGCCTGAGACAAAGATGTGCTGGTAATTTATTTGAGAGGCAGTCTCAGGAAATAAGAGTGAGGAAGCGGTGAGGGTGAGACAGAAAAGGACAAAAAGCCACTAAAGATGTGTTATTGGGGTTATTGGAGGTCAGCTCTAACAGGATCTCAGAGAAACTTCCAGAACACTTTCCAGAACTCTCAGTCTGAAGAACAGGAGGCTAAACACATTTATCTTCCTCTCTCAAACCCCATTGGTTGAGTGTTGACCCTGGAGATACCAACTTCCCTGTGTTTCTGGGCTGCACCTGCTCTTGGGCTTCTGCAATTCAGAGAACACCTTGAAGCAGAAAATGCACTTCTCAGTTTGGGGATTTCAAAATCTTTACAAACCTATTTTTCTTTGCCCAAGAGAATGGAAAGTTTGTGGAAGGAGAAAACAGGGAGACAGATGAGACCTTGAGGACAGAACTTCCCTGAAGAAGATGCTGTGAAGCTTTAGGTGACTTCCAGACCCTTGGTCCCTTTCTGTGTCTCTAAGCCCTCAACATTCTTTCTGCCTAGAGTTGTGGCTCTTGCCATCATCCCCACCAAATGAATTCTCTGCCAGTTGGGCCAAGCCTGACTGGACCAGGGGTAGGTGCTCAAGCAAAAGACAATATGTATAAGATGAACATGAGGAAGGCCCTTGCCTCTGAGGTGACATGATACAAAACCATGCCCTGGGGCAGTGACAAATGGACCCAATCAGGTGTTCTCTTGGGAAGAATGAGTGCTAAATGCACATAGAGAGAGTTGGTCATTTGAGCTGCGTCTGTATCCTAAATGTCACTGAGCTGTTGTTACAGTTCTCTGAGATTCCTGGTGTGCACGCCTGTCTTGGAATACCAGACCTCAGAAAGACCGCCACCAAGGAAAGGAAACATTCTACTGCATCTGGTTCTTTTGCATTTTCAATATAGACACTTCTAAACTGCAGATAACCTTCTCGTGGCTCTTCCATGAGCTTCCAAAAAGCATGACCTATAAAAGAAGCTTATCAAGGAAGTAGGAAAAGAAAGTAAAGTCATTTGAAAGAGATGGAGGGGGAGTCTACAATGTAAGAAAAGAAGTAGGAGAATGCAAAACCATGAGAGGAGAAACTTTTGTTAAAAGAAAAACTTTAGGGCCGGGCCGGCCCGTGGCTCGCTCAGGAGAGTGTGGTGCTGATGACACCAAGGCCCCGGGTTCGGATCCCACATAGGGATGGCCAGTTCGCTCACTGGCTGAGCGTGGTGCTGATAACACCAAGTCAAGGGTTAAGATCCCCTTACCGGTCATCTTTAAAAAAAAAAAAAAACTTTAGGGCCGAGCCCATGGCGCACTCCGGACAGTGCTGCTCTGGGAGCGCAGTAGCGCTCCCGCTGTGGGTTTGGATCCTATATAGGGATGACCGGTGTGCTCACAGCGCTCACTGGCTGAGTGCAGTGCGGAGGGTCTCAAAAAGGACAAAAAAAAAAAACTTTAGACGAATTAAAATTAACAGAGTCTAATTGAACAAAATGATTGGGCAATCCTCTAAACCAGAAGATGTTCAGATTGCTCCATTCTGCAGTTCTGCAACTGCGGCAGGGAGTATTTATAAACAGAGAAGGGAAGTGAGGTACAAAAACATCTTGATTGATTACAGCTCCTGCCTTCTTCAGACTTGGTCTGATTAGTTGGCAGCCTGAGATTGGTTGAAGCTCGGCTGCTTGTGATTGGTTGAGACTCAGCTGTTTATTATACTTCTGTACTTCTGGTTAGGTTTTCAGTTTGTTTATGGACTAAGTTAGGTTGCAGTTCTTCACAGTTCCTTTCTAAGAACCCAAAGTATGGAGACAGCCTGGGGCCAATGGCCTCCTGCTTACTTAACAATTTCAAAAAAGAAATGGTCAACATTACAAACCTCTCAGTCACACCACAGCTCCTAAGTTAGTAATGATAATGTTATTATATCATTTGTGTAGAGCATTGTTCTCAATGGGGCAATATCAGAATTGATTCCTGGGAGATGAAAAGATCTTAGATGGCTTGTGGTAAAATGGTTTGTGGCCCTCAGCACACAAACAGATATAGTATATCTCTGGTATTAAAATTTAATGGTATGGTGATGGGGTGCAATTAGGAAAGAAACAGGTCTAAAAGATTCCTTAAGGGGGCAGTAATGGGGCAAGAAAAGGTTGAGAAACACTAGTGTATGGTGAGTATATAATTTATCATCCAAACCAGGACACTTCTGAGAGAATAAAAGGGACTGCTGTTCATAATTATGCTCGGACAACAGGCATAAAGCAGAATTGTCCCATCAATTACTATGTGACAACTTGGAACTTTATGCACACTTTTCTATGGCTCATTTCTTAATTTGCTCTGTATTGTAGCTCTTTTAATCTTTTCATCTGGAATGTCAATTCCTTGAGAGCAGGCACAGTAACT